ACCTAGTTAGGGAAAAGTTAAGAGAACATTTGGCTTCATCCATCTTTAAGTTCCTCTCCTTTATTCTTTCTTCTGTTAGAAAAGTATTTTCTTCATTTCTCCTGTGCAAGCACTCTTCCTAACCCCTATCTGCTCTCTTTTTGTTCACACTTCACTAAACCAAAACTTCATAATTCCAGTATGCTGCATTCCTCGACTCTTGTGTGCTTGCAGGCAGAAGGTGTGCGGCGTCTGGCTCACTCTGAAACCGTAAACCTCCAAACATACAGTATGAGCGGCAGCACACATAATCCGTCAGGCTGCTCTCAATGTTTGGGAAAGGTGTTTCTGTTTGTGTACACTTTACAGTAAGAACTCTCAAAACAGTAGAAAGATCCCAAAGACATAATGTGAGTCAACAGTTTATGTGTTTGAATCTTTTATGTCTTTGGATTCGTTAGTGTTTCCTTCATGTTTGCGCACACATGCCTGACCGAGCTCCACGCTTGCATGCTTGTTGTCGCCTCAAGAAATCAAGCGTGCACCCGTACATTACTCAGGAGGGCTAAGCAAAACCAACGGATGCATAAGGCGATGCTTCTCACAGCACTGTGGGAGCTCATTACTGTATTCTTTAGATTCAGTGAGGATTCATTAAAAGCCAACGTGCTGCAGCAGCTCCTGGTACAGCTGTAATGAGAGGTCCTTCACAATTTGGGCTCCCTCGATGGTTGCAGTTGGACAGGTAAAATATTGGCGGTAATCTGCATCACGGATAGAGGCTTTGTTGCAGTCATTAGCATGACAATACTCGTGTTTGTTCTGTTCTTTACGGAACAGCTCGCTGTCGCCTGCTCGGGGTTAGAGGGCTTTCTATTCGCTGCAGAATAACATCCATTTATCTTATCTTCCCTCAGAAACACTCGCCAACTGCCGCAGCCAGCCCAGTTTTTTTTTTTTGTCCACGTTTCTACACACTCTCCCCTTTCAAAATGTAATTAAAGCATTGTTCAGTAGTTGTTGTCCCAGGTAGACCTTTCCGAGCGCAGTCTTGGCGTATTTTTACTCTAGGTTAGTGTAGGTTTGTTTAACGCTGCTGCCGCTCTATCTGAGGCGCTCTAGTTTTGTCTTCAGGATTCAGCTTCCTTTTAGTTAAGCTTCTGTTGGCAGAGTAAAATGTAAAGGCTGCTTTGTCTGAGCTAAACTGTTTATTTACTCTGTGTGCTTAAAGCTTTCTTTTTCAGTCCCTGTTTTGTCTCTTTGCATTGATTTCCTAAGGCCAAGTTGTTCGTTTTTGTTCCTATGTACATTTTTCTGTGTATAGATAGTCTAATAGATGTCTCCGCATCATTTGTCGTTATCTTTGCAACTAACCTGGCTTTTTATTATCTTCTCATCTTGTGTCTTGCAGTCTCGCACCCCACGTGTGGCACGCCTCAGCCCGACACAGCCGGCTCTTGCTGACCAGGCCAGCAGGGTTTCCTTTGCGTCAGCTGAAAATCTGGAGACCATGTCGGAGCCTGATATGCCCATTGGCTTTAACCGGATGAACCGGCTCCGCCAGAGCCTGCCACTGGCACGCTCGTCCAGCCAGGCGAAGCTGCGAGCACCAGGTCAGAACTCAGAACATTTTGATTAACACAATGTTTGTGCTACACTCTGCCTTCAATCATAGACATCTGTTAGCAAATAATGCAGGAGTTAGCTTAGCATAGGTTTTCTCTATATATATCCACATATCAGAAATAGAGTTTCCGTTAGCCGGTAATTACCGGACTTTGACCGGTAAAATATGCTGAAGACCGGCAAATCTAAATCTCTCCGGTCAAAATGTCGGTCAAAATAATTTCCCTTTAGCACAATACCGCTTCAGTTGCGCCACTTATTTGACAGACAAAAGAGTATGTGACAGACAAGAATAGTCAATTATAATATCTAACACGTAATGTGGAGAAAGAGATGTCCTGTATGGGTTGATTGTGCGTTGATCTGTTGGTAATGCCTCGGGGTTCCGGTGGGCATGTAAACAAATGCATAATGCTGCGCTATACTTTGCGGCCTCACCCGGTTGCAGAGCGACGCTTATTGTTTATGTGTCTTTTAATAAGCAGGTAGTCCTATCATTAGCTAGATCTGATCGATATGGACCATAGACTGTATATATAAAGATATGGACATAAACGCGAGTAAAGTCTAATCTGACGGGAGAGAGAGATCAGCTGCTACTGACGAGTCGAAACGCAGCTCTGCATAATCACCTGCAGCGCTGAGCGGAACAAAACACACACTTCAGGTTAGAATATCACACGTAGCTATTTTAATTACCTCTCAAACTACCTAAACTAGTTATAGATATGTTTAGTTTTACTGTCGGGTCACTCATTACTGATCCGCGAGCTGCATGAGATACTGACGGGCTGTCAGGAGAGGGAGAGAGCGCTCCGTTTATTATTCCCGTGTTATTGTAAATTACTGTACACTTTTGAATAGTTAATCTACTATAATTAGTTTGTTTAATATCGAATCATATCAATTTGTTTTAAAGCTCAATAAATAACAAAAAATACCTTTTGACCGGCACTTTTCTCATTTTGTCCGTAAGATTTCNCCGACCGCCTCGAGTTCAGCTCAAAGAGGCGGGACCTCCAATAAGAAGTGATAAAGTGAAAACAGCGTGTTTCTTTTTCTTGCAAAATCAATTTACATTATTATATTATTTATTTACCGAAAATTAAATAATTTGTGAAGTATAAACGTAAGTTTAGGGCTTCACGATTAGTATTTTTCTTATTTTTCGTTATTTATTTTTATTTATTCGATTTTTCTTATTTTATTCTATTTTCCCACTATTATTCATTTATTTTTCCAGACTTGTTAGTAAACACACAAACACGCCCACAGTGCGTCTCCGCATGTGACACAGGAAGTATCTTAGTACATTTACTCAAGTACTGTACTTAAGTGCTGTTGGTGCCGCTCACTAACGTCTGGGAGCCGAGACTATATAAAAAAGATAACGGAGAAACGCACCATGTACTAACGGTAACTGAGTTACTGAATTTAAAAAATAATGCGTTAGAGTACTAGTTACTGCCAAAAATAACGGCGTTAGTCCCAACACTGCTCCTGACAGACTTCTTTACAATCAGACTTTTTTTCTCCCCCTGCAGGACATTAGAAATAATGCAAGTTTAAGACACTCTACTTTCAGACCCGGAGGTTGCCACTTCATCACACCACAATATTCAGAGATGTCAGATTTAGTCAAGTACAGTCATTCTTTAAAAATGCATCACTGATCAAAATATTGCTTACGGGATGGCGGAGAAAACCAAATTCAGTTTCAGGTGTGTGATCGCTGAAATGTATCTTCTTGCTGCAGTGTTGCAATATAGCGAGGGCGTTCCTGTGAATCTATTTCCAAAGTCACTAGAAGGGCCAGTCACTCTTCAAGATGATGTGTCATGAGAATTTAATTTTATAGAGTTCAATCCAAGGTAAATCCTTCCAGACTGAGGGACGGATGATGTTATGTTTTATTCAAAGCCCTCCTGCTCTGACATTTGAGAAACAGTAAGCAGTCTGCCTGTATGAAGCAGCATACATCCAGCGATAGACCTGCCCAGAATGTCTGTACATTCAATTTCTGCATTTAAATTTGTCATGAGACTGTTGTGTCCCTCAAAGATGTATACAGAGACCATAGCCAGCCACGGTAATTTGGAAAGGGGAGTGCCGGTGGAAAATGTCCTTGACCTTGCCTAAATAAGTCTGGAAAGGACTAATGCAAAGAATAAAAAGGGTTTTCAAAGGGTGAATCCCACAGGTGTTCCTCCTGTCTGACAATATGAAAGAAAATGGGCTAAACTCATCTCGGTGGCTTTAAGAAATTCAAGTCCGAGACAGAGAGCTGAAGAGGTAGAGGAGGTGACTTTCCTCTGAGGAATCAGAGGCAGGGGGTTCTTCTAACGGAGGGGTTTGGAAGATGATCGCACTCGGGATCTTGATCTGACAAACGTAGAAAAAATGTAATATACTGGAAAATAAGGTGACTGTTTAGAATACATTACTCTTTTTGCACACTCAGCATTCTTTATTTGAGTTTCACCTTTATTTTTTTATCTTTTCATATCATACTTTCATCTTGTCTCACTCGCACATACACACACACACACACACGCACGCACGCACGCACGCACGCACGCACGCACGCACACACACACACACACCAGAGTTTCCGTTAGCCGGTAATTACCGGATTTTGACCGGTAAAATATGCTGAAGACCGGCAAATCTAAATCTCTCCGGTCAAAATGTCCGGTCAAAATAATATCCCCTTAGCACAATACCGCATCAGTTGCGCCACTTATGTGACAGACAAGAATAGTCAATTCTAATGTCTAACATTTAATGTGGAGAAAGAGATGTCCTGTATGGGTTGATTGTGCGTTGGTAATGCCTCGGGGGTTCTGGTGGGCATGTAAACAAATGCATAATGATGCGCTATACTTTGCGGCCTCACCCGGTTGCATAGCGACGCTTATTGTTTATGTGTCTTTTGATAAGCAGGTAGTCATATCATTAGCTAGATCTGATCGATATGGACATAAACGCGAGTGAAGTCTAATCTGACGGGAGAGAGAGATCAGCTGCTGCTGACGAGTCGACACGCAGCTCTGCATGATCACCTGCAGCGCTGAGCGGAGCAAAACACACACTTCAGAAAATCACAGTTAGCTATTTTAATTACCTCTCAAACTACCTAAACTTATAGATATGTTTATTTTTTACTGTCGGGTCACTCATTACTGGATCCGCGAGCTGCATGAGATACTGACGGGCTGTCAGGAGAGGGAGAGAGCGCTCCGTTTATTATTCCCGTGTTATTGTAAGTTAAAAACACATTGTAACGGAAACTCTGACACACACACACACACACACACACACACACACACACACACACACACACACACACACACACACACACCACACACACACACACACACACACACACACCTCACCTGAACAGCGCGGTGTTGCAGACAACACAGGTGTAGGTCCCCTCATCTTTATTATGAGTGAAGCCTCCAGTGAAAGCACTGTGGGAAATAAATGTATTAGTGAACTTAAATGGCTCAATAGGATGAGCAACTGTTGTGTTTCTAAGTGTTTATGGTCCTACCTCTCAGTTCCTCTCTCCTGGGTCACATGGTACTGAGCCGGAGTGAGGCGCTTCTTCAGCTCCTCCTTAGGGAACTTCACCGGCCATGTCTTCTTCGTCCTACATGCTCCTGAGGGGACAAAGAAGGACAAAACAAAATAAGTGTGATGTTTCTTGATGGCAATAGGAAAAAAAAGTCACCATTTCATGCTAAAAAAAAAACAGTTTCCTCTGTATCAGGGACAAGTGCTTTCATGTGTCAGTGCCAGCTGTTCAGGATAAACTCGATATTGTGGTCAAGGTCTTCTTTTCTTTAGAATTTTTCTGACATGCTCCATAATGAACACTAAGGATAATTGATTGTGCAGGGCCAAACATAAAAAAACATCTCGGTTTTATCCAAAAAAAGAACCTATTAGGAATGAAACATTTACAACATTAAGTGCAAAGTTAAACAAAAACACAAGAGTTAGTGCGTGCAAGCTGCAAGGAAGCAAAGCGTGATATTTATTTTTCTGTTAGCATGTGTAGTAGCATGTGAGGAGAGCTACATGTACACACTCAACAGATGCTGAACTCAAGAAGATATACAACAAATTAACACCCTGCTGATTCTTTTCAAAACGTATCGCACTAATGTTTGCATGGTTACAAACACTGCTGTACACAAAGCCAATTTCAAAAAGCGTTTGTGGATTTCGATGTTTGAAAGTACTTTAAAGGTCCCATGTCATGGCCATTTCTACTGATCATAATTCCATTGTTAAGGTCTACTAGAATAGATTTAAAAATTGTGCAATTTTCCAAAATCGCATTGGTTTCTCATACAGCATCATGTGTATTCACTCTGTCCTAAACGGCTTGTTGGAGCTCCTGCCCCCGCTCCCCCCCCCCACCCTATGAGCCCACTGTGCTCTGATTGGTCGGGCCGTTGCGAACTCGTTGCTGCTTCGAGGAGCGAACAGATTTGCGGGTCGGCGATACAGCGAGAACAAGCGAAACTCATCCTGAGCACACACAAACACTCACAGCCGAAGTAAAAACAATAAGTGTGGCTTGATATTGAGTAAGAAAAAGGTTTATAAATTATATCGCTGTGAGAATGGGTCTGCGGAGAGCATTTCTCCGCGATCCCAACTCGTCTATTACCAGCGTTCAGGGAGCTCTATGCANAAAATTTACGTATAAAGGCCCTTACACTACCGGGTAATGCGTACCGCTTACTGTATCAAATAATTAACTCTACCACCACAAAAACACGAAGACCATTACCTGCCTGGTCAGGACCTTATATCGCACACTGATAGGAGGTACGCGCTGGACTTCCACTTATCGCTTTCGAATCCCGTTTCGGGACAATATGCTTATCTTAACCTCCATACATAGATATTGGGTCTCGAAGACACTCAATCCTCCATCAGGGAATGAAGGTAGGCTAAAATAGGCTACCTGTCGTTATAAAAAGTAGAGACCAAAGTCCCACTTGTTAAAACGATCAAAGAGGGGGGGGAAATGGCAGCTCTCTGAGTGCCGACAGGCAGGAGAGAGGGCACGCAATTGAGACCCCGACATTACTCACTCTGACAGGACACTCAGTACTGAGTGTGTCAGAGAGGAATGGGAGACACCCCTCAAATAAAAACGAATAAAAGAACAGGGGGAAGACCAAGATGCAGCAGTGCAAATGTCTTCCACTGTCATACCTCCGTGCAACGCCGTAGAGGAGGAAAATCCTCTGGTGCTGTGCGCTTTGATGTTCTCCGTGGGATCCAACCCAGAGGAGACACACGCCTGTGACACAGCCTCACACAGCCAGTGTGACAGCCGTTGTGCAGGCAGAGGCTGCCCTATTGAGCGCTCTCTGTAATGCACAAACAGACGCTGGGAACTGCGTAAAGCAGCCGTGCGTGCAATATAGCATGACAGCGCGCGCACGGGACAGAGGAGATGAGATGTGGCTTCTTCCTCTGATGTGTGAGGAGGAGGAAAGAAGACATCCAAAGTTATCACTCTCGATCTAAAAGAGCTTGTGATCACCTTTGGCATAAAAACCGGGTTAGGGCGCAAAACAGCTGAGCTGCCATCTCCTTGGATCCGGAGACATGACGGAGCCACAGAGAGAGCAGACAAATCACTCACCCTTTTAGCTGATGTCAGTGCCAAGAGCAGAGCTACTTTGGCTGACAAAAACTTCAGGGGAACCTGATCTAAAGGTTCAAATGGAGCGTTACTCAGTGCGCGTAACACTAAAGCCAAAACCCATTGAGTCGCCAAAGCGTGTGACACAGGTCTGAGTCTCTGTGCTCCCCGTAGAAAAAGTTTTGTCAGAGGGTGACTAAACACTGTGCTGATCCCAAAACCTACGTGGCAAGATGAAATGGCAGCAGCATATGTTTTGACCGTGTTTATAGCGATTCCTGTCCAGACAGCTGGAGGAACGACAGCACGTGGGCAGGGGGCACGTAACGGGTCGTCCGCTTTTCCCTACATACCAGGCGGAACATTGTCCATTTAGCTGTGTAGGAGCTCTGGTGTGTTCAGCAGCTCGCGCACCTGATCGCTACTTTGTTGTCTGTTCGAATCAAACATGTTGATTGTACAGCAACGGGGGGAAGTGCTGGCTTCTTTCCATACGGAGAGTAATTCCAGCACGTTTATATGGAGAGACATGTGGACCGGCCACTGTCCCCCACTGCCTGGCGACATGCACGTTCCTCCCTGCGAGAGATGCGTCTGTACACTGCGGTGTGTGACGTCACTCTGCTCAGGAGCACCCGCCCACTGACGTGGAGATTTTTCCAAGTGGGTAAATCCAAACCCACGGGAGGAGGAATGTCACACCCTC